TTGCACAGATGAACGGCTGCCATAAAGCATAGCGCAGTAATACTTGGATGATATTTACCCTGAGGAAAATAAAAAAAGCCTAAACGTTGTTAATTCAGTTTTATTTCCTCACTAGTTTGCATTGAGAGGCTTTAGTTATTCTGTAAATGGAATTTGCCTCACCTGACCCAAATAGTTGGCCTTTCGGCATTTTCGTCTTTCCATAGATGATGATTACTTCTAGTCATCATATCATTTCAAATCAGAAAGTTTAAAGAGAAACGAACTTCCGTTTCGCCGAAAATAACCAACTCACTCATATCCGGTTACGTCTTACTTACGCGGATCAAAACATCAATTTTTGAATGGGCGAAGGCTGCTTTGCTGAATCCTCCCCCCACTATATTAATACCCTCCAGAATAAAAAAACGCAGTGATTTAAGAATGCGATGTACGACGGCTGTTAGCACAGAAAGTTGCCAGACTATAAAGGAGAGTTTATTTCCGCTCAAAATTGTACATTTTTTCCTTGATTAATTTGCATCGTCTTAATTTGTATGAGAAAGGAACTTTTTCTGAAATGAGTTAAAGAAATGAGTAAAATGTACATTCCCTAAGGTGTCCCGAAGTGGTCATCTTGATTTCCGTCATTACGCTTCATGACTTTAACTTCACGTCGATCATTGTTAATTAAGAGTTTTGGTCGTTGTATTTGGGGCGGTTCCCCAATGATTAGAGATTTCTCGTGGATTTACGTATACCTCATGAATTACGGTATATGCAACATGCTATTGGCGTTTGACGTTATTTTAACCTAGGCCACAAATTTGATCACCCGAGCATTTAAACAAGACATCCTCGTCCGCATCAATTGTAGCAGCCCGTAAATATTAATTTTTGTCTCGCCCTAACATACTGCAACGACATAATATACTGTTTTCAGTGCATATTTTATGTCCATAGTTTAGCACGTATGAATTCGCTGTTTGTGTCATCAAAACCTTCATCCGCTATGATGAAAGGAGGGTACGTTTTTACTAGAAAACTGACAAAATTTTCGGTAACGATGGGGTGTAGGACCGCACTATCTAGCAATTCTTACATGCTTACTAAAATTCAGTATTTGTTGAAATTTACTGGGCCTCCTGTCTGAGAGCGGCGATGCATTCAAAACCCGAAAGTTTTGAAAATTGTTTTTTATAGATATTTTTAAATTATTGCGCTCACTTTCTTTGTCATTTGACAGCATTCGATAAAACTTTCGGCGGAGAATTGTTTATTTTTTGTGTCTTTTTGCTCTACGACCTGTGTGTTGCCCACCTATAGAACCCCTCTACCACCATTCAATCAATATCACGGTCCACATGCTCCTTAAGTTCGTTGGGGTTCTGCAACCTACCCTTGCCCAATTCATTCTCAAGAATATCTAATCGAAATTTGCGGATGTCAATGTTAGTGCACTGGCTGCTTATTCAGTTAAAAAATGAGACTTTCTTGCTTTAGTCCATTAGGAGGTGAAAGAGGTGGAAACCACGCGAGTTTCAAAGCTGCACCACCTGCAGCCACTTTATCCTCCTCTCCGAGAAGCCGTAAACTTGATTACCACCGTATTTAAACTTCAAACACCACCAAGGGTATTAGAGGTCACTGTTATTAGCATTCTTCTTTGAAAATCGGCTATGCTTCTGAAATGGCCGTGTCCTTTTCCCACTCTTGCGGCACAGGTTAAAGTTAGGATTAGGGCCAGGGTCAGGGTTTGAATTAGGATTAATAAGTACCCTTCCTGGAGTTTTACGCAAGGCCACCTGTTTTACGGAAGGAGGCGTCTCTATCGCCGGATGCTGTCGGAGAGGGAGGCCACACAAATCATCCCTGCGCATATTCATCCGGTCTGATAAGCATTTTCTTTCGCCTCTATAAATGTAGTTGTTTAGCAGTGCTGTGAACAGAAGGGCGTCTCGATGACCAACTCTAGCACGATATTTCGTTCTGTTAAGGCGTATTAAAAAAGTATTATTATGGCCACATCATCATTTTCGTCTTTTCCAAACATTACTTAGTACACCGGAGCTCACAGTTCCTAGGTTTTTTTAAAAAATGACTTTTTTCGGAAAAGGAATTTTTATGTTTTTCTCTTCCTCTGGCCAGTGCACAGGAATAGGAGCCCCAGAGACACAGGCTGCAATGCACTAGGTTTCAAGGGCTGCATTTGGAGTGCGTTTTAGTTCATGCGAAATGTACCCTCCTCGGATTAAGTGCTAATATTTCTGCTGTCTGGCAAATATATTCATCTCGCGCATTGGCGCAGGCTTCGGACAAACATAGAATCACTTGTTCGACACGGTTAAATAGTTAACTGTTTTAATACATAGCCCAAAAGTCTGACAACGAGCTGGGGAACCAGACTCGAAAATTTACTCATTAAAGTTTATTCCCTTCCAAAGAATCTTACTTATTCTCAATATATACAGTACCTGTGCTAACTCATGAAATGCGGAGGTCAAAATTAGAGTGGAAACTGTAGCGTATTTTTGGTGTTGTTATTTGTGTTTATTTAGTTGAAATAAGGACGAAAAAGCCGTTTGCTGAAGGAAAGTTTGATACGGATCTGTATATTTAATAGAAAACGAGCCGAATTTAGGCAAAATTGGAGGATTCCTGATATTCAAGCAGTTTCCTAGGCTTTTTAAGATTTCGAATCAAAATTCTTTGTTTGACCTTATCAGTCTGTTTACGAAGATTAATAAAAAGAAGAAATTTTTCAATAAACTTTCGTACAAAAAGAAGAAATTAAATTTCAATATGAAGAAAATCAGGGAAATGCAGATAAGTTATATCTTATTTTGTTCAGGAAATAAGGTGCGATTCTTCATCTAAAAATTCTATTTTACAAATCCGTAAGGTATTATGTTTCAAAATACCGAAATAAAAAAGTTTATCAGTGTGATTATTTTACCAGACCGAAAATGTGTATCGTAAACGAATATATATTGAGTTCGCGCGATACGCCGTCACTTTTCTCTATCACGCCAAACGATACCTATGTCTAAGGATTACTCATCCGAATCTGACTTCCAGTGTATTCTAAAATTAGCGGCGGAGGGGATCCCGCGTGAGTCGTTAGCTAGTATTTTCAATATTAGTAATGTCACTCTGTGGCGCATTATTAATGATAAAACTGTTCCTAGAAATAAGATAGGGAGACCCAAACGGTCCACAAGTAAGCAAGACGACGATTTTATTCGTCGTACATTAAAAAAGTTTCATTACATGCCCATTGAGACCATTCAACCGGAACATCTGCCGATGTTTTCTATGAACATCATCAGGAAAAGGATGAAGGAATTTGAACTGCAGCGGCAAAAGGCCATGATTTAGCCATATTTAAGTAGAAAACTAACTAGAGAACGACTTTTATTTGCTAAGAATTATATTGATTACAGATCTTCATTTTGGAAGAGCATTTTCTTCTGCGATGAGGTTTTATTTTTAGACATGCCTACGAAATCGTTCCAAACCGTCAAATGTGGAAAGGACTTCTCAAGAAAACGCACTACACCGACGGCAACATTCAAGAACTGTCGGCGGATGACGGTTTGGATGGCGATTAAATTCGGTGAGCGGCCTGTCTGGCGGTCAACATCCGACACCATCAACAGCAAGGTGTTTATTGCAATTGTCAAGGATGCTTTCGGCTACAACGGCATAAGTTGGCGCCGAATGGATACTGTAATTTTGCCCGACAATGCACCTGTCCACAGATCTAAAAAGGTACGTTTTTGATGCCGCTTGCAAATATAACCTAACATTTTAGACAACAACCACCCTCTCCGCAACTGGCCTCCAATCCATTTTCATCCCGGCCAACAGTCCCGATTGGAATCCTATCGAAAATCTTTTTAGAACAGTCAAAAGAAATTGGCACAAAGCTTAGAAGACTTTCAATGCAGGACAAATTGGATTTCATACTGAATAATTACATTTTACAATCCACCATAGACAACCTCGTAATGTCTATGTCTGACAGACTTTCTGCCGTTATTAATTCAAATGGACAATCAACAAAGTACCGATTTTTTGTATCTGTTTCCGTCCTAAATTATTTTGGCCCTTTTATGCGCCCTCCTCCTTTATACGCCCTCATATGTAGCCTTTATTAACTTGGTTGTAATATAGGCGTTTCACGAAAATGTGACTTCTGTCGAAAATTATTTATTTTTATCTCAGTATATAACATTTTTATTTTCTAATTTCTATTACTTTGACACATCTTTTATTTTCCGCTATCAGACTTTGGGAGCCGTAGTGTTTACCGATTCTGCGTTAAAGTCGTTTACCTGTGTTAATTCACGACATTTTATGAGTTAGCACAGGTACTGTATATATATATATATATAATGTTAGGGGGCGCTTACCGATCGTTCATACGGAACTCACTCGTTCCGTTGGGCCTTATGGACTCTCTCTCGAGCCCAACCAGCAGCCGCACAGCGGCGCATGATATATAGGCAGAATGATATTACCGACAAAGACAAGGGAGACTTGAATGGCCATA